ATACTAGTTTATGTATACGATCTTATTTTAAGTTATCTGTTATTACTAGTTCATGTTTATCTTTATTTAATGTATGTAGTGTGTATCAAATTATTCATAAAATAGCTTGGGTTGACAGAATTGTGTATAAATCCCTTTAGTCATGTCTATCTTACACACCTTGAAGCATAAGTAAAATAAAGAAAATTCATTTTACATACATCAATATCATTTACAAATATAACCCGTACAAGAATAATATTGTACTATGATGAGCATATTGGTATTGCTGGTTGCTTACAATGACAACTGATTTGCAGAAAAAAAAAAACACTGCACTACTATTTTTTTTAAAAGACTTACATCATACCCTAAAAATTATAAAATTCCCTAAAACTTGTGTTCACCAAGTCTGTCTATCTGAAGGGCACCATACCAAGGGTTTAAAGAATAGACCTTTTGCATGCGTGTAAAGTGGTGTAGCGAGAGTGGGGGATGTTGGCTTTATACTGTAAATAATGTACAGAAATATTAATGCAAACTGACAACTCGTCAGCCAGTGTTGCTGTGAATTCATGAATGAAGTTTTCATACCTATAAAATATGAAGTTTAATAGTTACAGTATACAGGGTACCTGTATTGTATTATAAATACCCTTGAGAACTTCATACACTCCAGCTCTACAGTTTTCCTTGACAGAGAATGGCACATAATAAGTTAAAACTATTCTATAATTCTAAAATTTATTCACAAAAGACTAACACTATAATGGTCTGCAAACAAAAACCTCAAATTGTTTCACATGCAAACAAAATTTCACTTGCTTATCCTTCATATTAAATACAGGATGTTTCAAAACATTTTATAAACTTGTGGGAGACCTCACACATCAAGTAATGACAATATTTGTGAATACAAAACATTCACAATTGCCACAAAATCTTTAACCCTTAAAAATGCTCACAACCTTCCAGACTCACATATACTTATATACAGTACAGTACACATAAACTGACTGTTTAGAAAGAATTAATACCAATTATGTAATGAAAGTTTTTATGTAAAAATAAACAATACCTGTACAGCATTAAATATAAATTATATTCTTGCCTTCCTTCTGGCATATGAATGCATAGGACAATGGTAATGAAAGCACCAAATAGTGAGCATCAGCCTTTTCTAGCAATAAATCACTTCCACTTGTTTCTGATGCTGGTCCATCAGACCCAACACTTTCCATTCTTCAATACTACTACTGAAGAGAATCTTTTGGTGGCTAGACTTTAATCTGCTAATGCGGCCATGAATAGGCTTCCTTACCTTCCTGCATCAGTACTGACACATATTGGTGCCTGGAACAACCATATTTGTTATCTATGTATAACTGTATAAAGAGTGAAATGAATAGTTGTAGGTAGCAGATGACAAAACAGAGGAAACTGAAACTTCTCATTTGGCAATATAGAATAAAACAAAAACAAATTTGTAAACAAATGCCTCTCCATCAGTCAAAAACATTTACCAGACATATGGAAAAGGCAAAAAGGTGCAAATGTGACCAATCAGAAGCTTCCCCAGCAAGATCATGGAGTCATCAATGATGCACGAAAATTTGACCCAATGCGCTTGAAAACTTTTTGGGGAGTAAATTTTTTTTTTAAAGTTCGATGACATAATTCGCATCAACGAAGCAAATAGCACTACCTAATGATTTGACACAATTCACATCTTGATGTGAAATAGGGTTAATCAGTGTTAAAAAAATAGTACTGTAATGAACAAGGCAAAGGCAACATTTACAAATGAAAATGGTTGTAAAACACTGATGATCATGAACTTCAATTCATCCTTATTATATATGTGGTGGCAAATATGTCCAATCTATTGGCTTCTTCCCCCCCTTCTCAAGAAGTTCATTACACTTGGAGAAGTGTTTGCATCCAAAGAACCCACGATGACCAAACAGTGGTAATGCAGCCTTGAGCAGATGATGTTTCTTCTGTGGTGAAAAAAAAAGAAAAAAAGTCATTACAAACTTAAGTACTATAATAAAACGAGAAAATATAGACTATACAACCCAAACAAGAAATGCCATTAACCACTAAACAGCAGCCAACATCAACTGGTGTTAGTTGTAGAGATGGGAGCCAACATCAATGGATGCTTCATGTTCCTTGCATTCCAGTTTTTGTGCATAAGAGGACACAAAATGTTGTTTTGTATTAAGGGTCTAGATAAGCAAGCATAAGAAAGATTTTTTCCTAAAATACACCTATGGGAAGATAACTCCATGATTAGCTGACATGGCCTGAGCCAGGTTATTGCTTGCAGGCACTGTCTGGAGCATTTCCACAAGATAAGCTAGGACAAGCTGTGTGCAAGATGTATATCTAAAGAAAAAGACATCATCAATAAGTAGCAAAATCAAAACGTTAGATGAAAAACATGAAAGAAAATGAAAGTTATATTCAAAAGAAATTAATTTGGATTTACTCTATCCATCAATATTTCTTCTCTGTAAAATACAAAATACAATTATCCTAGTTCCTAAACCTAATAAAAGATTACCAGTATCTGATGATTAATCACTCCAATGTTAGCCTAACAAAAACTAACTTAACATAAACTACCCTAATATAAGCCCCCAATTACCATTAGGGTGTTTACCGGTAATCATCAGGCAAAATAAGCAAGGGTTCCTCATATTCATTGAAGATCCCGTGTATATTACATCCAGACATTAGGCAGCTTGGTACAAGTAAAGTCTCCTCAATACAGAGTTGTCATCAGCTGCCTCTACAATTTTGAGAGCTGGAAAGTTCCTGAATTATAGAAATCATCAATAAATGAATTCTGTCATTTTGTGAAACAGTTAGCAAATGTCTGTCCAAAAAGAAGTAAACAAAAGGAGAAAAGAATGGTGGGCACCCAAACACATAAACATGAAGGAATGTTATTAACATGATACAGTTTAAATACCTATAATAAGGGAATACTTGGCAGAACACCAAGAGGCATTGCAAGATAATGGTTTCCCCCAGAAATCTTAAAACAAGTAAAAAGCGCAATGTCAATATTTACAGAATGTTTTATAGTGCACAATAAAGCAAAAGAAAACTGCCTATAAGAAAGGAATTGTAGGGTGGGATTGTAACAGAAGGATTATATGACAATAGAAACAAGATGTAATCTGAGGAATTAATGCAGGCCAGGGATGAGGTAGTGAAGGATACTATACAGTGAGTTAAAAGTAGTTTACCGTATGAACAACTTTAGCTTTCTTCTTGGCATATGATCCCCACAAAAGGAAAACAACACCTTCATTATGTACTGATATTGTTTTGATGACCGAGTCGGTAAACTTCTCCCAGCCTTCGTCCTTATGCGAGTTAGCTTTGTGGGCCCTGACTGTTAAACAAGCATTGAGTAGTAAGACACCTGAAAGGGATAAGTTTTTTTTAAATAGTTATGGGGTGGAGTTATAAAGCATAATGGTATTAACGAAACATTACTGAAAACTTTTAACAGTAGATCAGATCAATGACATTTCAATACAATACAGCAGGGGTTCTCAACCAGGGGGGGGAAACTGATACTAATATGGAAAAAATAAAGGATTTTCAGTTTTATATGCATATTATTTGGAATGCACTTTTTGAGGCAGACAATCTTGGAAAGGAGGGGGGAATGACATTCTGACATATGGTGAAAGGGGTGCATGGGGCAAACAACTGCAATACAGTTTGGTATACTTTGCATATTCTTTGGTGATGACTCTACCTCATGGCCTCCTCTCCCCTGCCATGCAACAAGTGGTACCTCATTGTCGATATGGTGGTCGGCTGATAAAGTTTTAAGCCGAGGCCAATCATACGGACAAATCTCGTCACATTGTCTATTGCAATTCTCGAGAAACCTAACCTTGAGCAAGAATCACATGGAGAGAGGACAATTTCTTGGCCATTGCGAGAAACATGTCCATATGATGAGCCACAGTGTATTTTTTGTTTTGTTTTTAATAACATTGGTCTTTTAACTGGATGGATAACTTGATAAGTTTTGGACAGAAGCCATGAGACAATCTTTAGATATAATTATGCCACCAAAAGCATACAGTATCTTTCAACATGGCAGTTATATTAGTGGCAGCAAATAACTCCAGAATAATACAGTTTGAGATCTAATAACAATTAATGCATGAAACAAAATAGTAATTTAAGTTTTTTCTCACCACCAACAAAATTACACAGACTTTAAGATATTCAGCAACTGATTGAATAATACGTAGTTTGACTGATGTTCATATAAACTGTATTGTGAAATTATAAGGTTAACCAGAAAAATTTGTTTGACTGCCAACATAAGATTATCATCATTCTGTACAGAATTTCATCACAGGACAAGTAGGTTTAAGTCAATACGTACATATTTTAAGTACAGTAATTTAACTCTGTAGTGATAAAGATTTTTTAAAGACATAAGCAGTGTAAAGGATTCTGTATATTGCTGAACATCCATCACAACATATGAGGCATTTAGAAAAGCAGGGGCGTATCACCGGATTGTCCAATTTCCCATTTTCTAAGTTAGTCCATAGCCCCAACATTCTTCTATCAGGTAATGATGTCAGGCAATCCCCGTAAGAAAACAAGGGCCAAAATCATGCAGTACAACCTCGAAATTGAGCCGAGTTGAGAAACTCAGACCTATGCCCTCATGTTACAGCTCAAGATTGAAGAAGCCGCAAGTCCAGAAAACCATGAGGGCAAACTTTTTCGGAGTGAGGGTTGTAAACTCTTGGAACAATCTACCAGAAAGTGTTGTGACGGCACCAAGTGTGAGCTCTTTCAAGACAAGACTTGACCAACACTGGAGCGGGTTCAGGTACATTCAGGAGCCGGTGCATGCCCAGTATTTGCCAACAGTGCGTAACAGAGACGTGACCGATCGCCCGGGGCGGCTAGACAGCCGATCTTTTGGTGAAGAAGATAAATGAAAAGGAAAAGTAATCAGAGACGTGACCAATCGCCCAAGCAGCTAACAAGCCGATCAGTGGCGAGGAGGATAAAAGTAAAAGTATTCTCAATGCCTCACATAATGATAGAAGGGTGGTTATGGAAACAGTAAGTCAAAAAAGTTCTAATTTCTTTTACGTTTCAGTACAACTTTCCTCAGAGAGAAGGTTGTACTAAGCTGTAAGAGAAATTAAAATTGCTCTGACTTACCATTTCCATAACCACATTGCTATATATCTTACCTGGCTTACATCTTGTCAAGACCTGAAATATCAATTCAACATAAAAAGTATATTAATTAGGGAAAAACATATTCACATTGATTTTAATACACAAATGAAAGATATGCTGTATAGTTCATGTTCAGTATATACGAGATATTTATGTACATTAAATGTACATCATGTGCACAGTACAGTAGGCATATACAGCACAGAAACTTATGCAGACACACTCTACACTATATATATGCTGTAGTAATAATTATAAAAACAAAATAAAAAATATTAATAATAATAAAAGTAAGAATAGAATCTTCAGAGAAGCAAATTTTAGGTTGGAGATCATTTGGATAGTGAAGGATACCACACACACTAATGTACTGGGACACTATACACAACCAATAGTGAGGAACAATATCTGGTAATCAATACATGACACTTGGTTCACCCTCAAGAGAACCTTTAATTTGATGTGGGAGAAGTATTTAAGGTCAGATTAAGTTGCAATTTCTAGTTTTTGGAAGGGGATTCTGTGCGGCCAAACTAATTCTAAGTAAAGAAATAACACGAGAGATTCCCAGAAGGGTGTCACTACAACACCATAAAATATTAACTCACTTCTAACTATAATCAATATCTGACATTATCGCACTATTTAATCACTCCTACATAATAGCAATAAATATTGTTTGGGGGATATGAATTTTCTTTACACAAACTAGACCATCATTGTCTTTCTTTACCATAAGAAATGAGGATATACAATACAGTACTATTTTCAGTCACACAGGCTTACCTTGTTGTGCCCAACCAAGTAAGTATCCATGTGATGGCTGCTCAAATCCTGGGATATCTGACTTCAGTTCCTTGTACATGTTCACCAAACTGAGAAGGATGCATTTTTTCCCGTGTTAATAAAAGATCTTTACTGAATATACTGTACACACAAGAAAACTTTGTTTATTATGTAAGTGAAACAAATCAAGTCCATGAGCAAAAACAAAGAAAGTGGGTCAGGAAACATTTACCAGGCACAGTATACACAAACCAGAAGCAGGGAAAATAAACCCACAGAAACTGAGAGACAAGAAAGCAGACCGAGTAAACTTCATTCAATGAAAGAAAAATGTAGAGCATAAAGCTACATTATAAACCATCAAAAGGTAATATGGAGGATGCAAAAATATGTGACATGGCATCTCCTTTCTTTCTCTGTCAGCAGTACTTTCATAACATACAAAGAGAAAACTGTTTATTATGGACAATGTTTCAGTTATAAACAATATTTTTCCAACTATCAATTCTTGTCCCCTAACTGTCCAACTACAGTAAAAGTCCAAAAATCCGGATGCCAGGAATCAGGACCACCCGAGAATCCGGACTTTTCGAAAACTCAAACTTTTTAAATTTAGCGGTCTTTTGTGGGTTACGTGAATGAATGGAGTTGCTTTAAAAAATTAATTTACATAATTCTAATAATATAAGTAATTGTAAATTACAGGTAGCTAATTTTGTTAGTTTGTAATTAGCTTGAACTGAAATGTAAAATTTGAGGCACAATAAATCTTTTGTGTGTATGTGTGCATGAGTGAATGCCACAGCTGCACAGCGACAACAAACGACCACGCAATCGCCACTTTAAAACAAGCAATCAAACTGTGACAACGTATGTAATTTTGAGTCCTACTCTTTCCATGTACAGAGTACAGGCCCATAATAATGGCCCCTAAAGTAGATAAACTTCAATGTGTGAAGAGAAAGAAGAACACATTGAAATTGAGAGACAAACTTGAAATAATTAAGAAACTAGAACGTGGTGTGAGCAATGCTGTTCTAATGGAAACATACGACATTGGAAAGTCTACAATTTATGATATAAAAAAGGCAAAGAATAAAATTCTAGAATTCACAGCTTCTTCTGAGCCTTACATTAAAATTGCTGAAAGAAAAAGTTTACATTGGCCCAAATTAGAAAATATTGATAAAGTGTTGCACGAATGGTTTTTGTTAAAACGATCAGAAGGTATGGCAATTTCTGGGCCAATACTTATTGCCAAAGCAAAGTCTTTTAAGGAGCAAATGAACATCGAATCAGAGTGCGCATTTAGTGATGGATGGCTTAGGAATTTCAAGACTCGTCATGGTATTAGACAGTTTGTTTACATTTTTGTCTAGTGTTGACTTTATATTTCTTTAAAACTGCTCGTTTTGATAAATGAAGCATGCTTTATTTGCTAATGAATAAACTATAAAAATGTACCTGTTCATCTCTTCTTTATTCCTCCTTAAATATTAATTTTAAAAGTACTGCCTGAGAATCGGTAAAATCCGAAAATACGGACCTACCCAATCCCCAAGCAGTCCAGATTTTTGGACTTCTACTGTACAGTAAACCCCCGCTTTACACGGTTTCACTTTACGCGTTTCCACGTTTACGCGGTACCCTGCCGAAACCGGAATGCTCACTTTCCGCGGTGTGTGTACCCTTTTACGCGGAGAGCGGCGCGAGCAGGGTGCACATAAGGTCGCCCAGTCATCAAAACATTACCGAGTTCTTCACCCGCCAACCACCACAGCCGGCCCAAGTCAGTGATAGTGATAATGATAGTGAGGATATGGACTTGTATGGACTTTGAGGGGTTTGACAAAGAGGCCCTGCAAGCCTCTGTGGTGGATAGTGATACAATTGATACAAGTGATACAGGTGAGGGCCAATAATCTGCCCTCAGCCTCGGAACCAACCCCCCATCCCCGTGTGCCCAACCATCTTTTCTACTAATGTAAGTGTTGAAAAACCTAATATTATTGATATATCTCTTACTTATTAATTATGTGTGCATGCCATCATAAAATTAAGAAGTTATTTTTACTACAACGTAGGTATTGTGTCTGAAAAAGTGGAGTTTGGGGTCGGCCCGGTCTCTATTTCAATTAATCCCATATGTTATGTTGTTCACTTTACGCGGGCCGCCGTGGGTTCAATTGACCGCGTAAAGTGAGGGTTCACTGTACAGTACTGTACAGTGGGGTATGCTATAACGAATCTAATTGGTTCTAGAACCTTGTTCGTTATAGCATTCGTTTGTTATAGGATTAATCCGTTCCAGGCCCCCAAATACAACCACTTAACACTGAAAAATATAATATAAAATTGTAAAAATTGTAAAAAAGTGCATAAATATGCATCTAAACCCCTGAAATAAAGAATATCATTAATATTTGTAGTAATAAAACAATAAATTAGAAAAAAAAATTTAAATTATGTTCGTTGTAGGAGTTTCGTTCATTATAGCATTCTCAATTTTATAGGTAAAACCGTTCGTTATAGGAATATTCGTAGTAGGATCCGTTCGTTATAGCATTCCCCACTGTATATGCTATTTACATGCTTTTTCAGTTGTTTCTCCCCTCAACAAATGACAGTAAATAAATGAAATTTGTGTCTATAAAGTGCACTTGTGATAAATAATAATATGGAACAGTTAAAAAGAGTGCCCAGGTAATTTCCTTTACTTAGTTACCCACATTAAGACATTTTAGTTTAATTGACTAATAAAAGTTTAAAGGTGAGAAATTAAATGAATGTATTGTTACTTAGTAACTTAAGACAATTTTCTGTACCTTGGAGGTGGTGGCACACCGTTCTGAACACTGAAACATAGACCATGTGCTTGTCCTGGTATATGATAAGGATTTTGTCCTAAGATGACCACTTTGATGTCCTGCAACTTACATGCTTGAGTCCAAGAGAACACCTGATCCTTTGGGGGGAAGACTGTTGCTCGATTGCGCTCATATTCCAAAAATTTACTCAACTGTTCAGTAATCAAAGGAAATGTTCTTTTTAATTTGAATATTTCTAACAATATAATCATATATCTAATTCCAGTACTTTCTTAGAGTAAGAAATAAAATCCAATATAGAGCAACAAGAGAACTAAATGATAAGATGACTTAAAGGAGGAGAATGACTTAAAAATGTTTTTTAACCTTAAATATGATATTCAAGTAGAGTGTTGGTTCATTGTCTGTCTTGAACTGCTCATGGTAAAGTGCCATAATGGGATATAAAAACAATTATGAAATGGGAGGATTTCCCATTCTAACATCTGACCAAAAATTTACTTTTTATAACAACCAGGCGGTAGTACTTCCCTGTTTGGTAGCTCCATACTACCTACTACACTAAAGTAGTTAATCTTAAGTGAAATACAGTATACTGAGAGGGCTAATGTTCAGGTAATGATGAGATAGAGAGATACTGTATTTTTCCCACCTTCTCAAAGTAGGGCTGAGAGAACTGAGACTTGAGGGCCAGGTACCAACTATGACCAATGTTCTCATGCAGACCTGGAGATTTCTTACACTGTTGTTTTATCTCTGCCTGTAAAATTAGTAAGAATTTCCCTGTAGCCATATAAACAAAAATGCATTCAGTGATGGCCAGTGCTTAGCCAGGTATCACAACTTTTTAAGCGTCAATAAGAAATGTAAGCATATAAAAGAAACAAATGGTATAATAATTCACAGCCAGTTGACTGATATTGTATTAAAACAATAATAAGCCAACTAATGGAACACAAGACACTGAGCAACAATCATTAATGTATGAAACCTACCTTAATTTGGTTTTGCATCATGCATTGTTTCTGCTCTGGGGTAAGGCCAGATTGGACCTTCTCATCACGACACGTTGGGGGCGTTCCTAGAGAGGTATACATGTATTTCTTCAATATCCTTTGACAATTTAAGCATGTAATAAATAATCTTTATTTTGTGATGCAGTTACAGTATCAACAACTTGTCTAAAGCTGATGTTTCAATGTGTATTAGCAGAACTTATGAAATTTTGAAATTTTTTCAATACCTGCTCAGTTATACACATCCACAGTACAGTATGTAGGAGTATTAGTGGAAATTTAACAAGACAAGAAAAGAGGAAGAATGAAGGAACAATTCTACGAAGTTAAAGATAATGAACTGAAAAAGAAAAGAATATAAAAAAAAAGAGAGAAAAGTACAGAAAGAAAAATACAAAATGCAAAGGAGTAAGCAGATGTGTTGTTGGCAAGATAAAATTCCATTTGTTTTTGTTTTTAAATAGCTACTGCACAATATTAGACACAGACAAATATTGGTCTGGTTCACTAACCCACCATATGAGATCATCACACACATTCAAGCTAGACATGGTTCACCTTGGGGTATGGTCCAGTTCTTTGATGAATGATTCCCCACACTAAAAGGAGAACATCATACAAGTATTGTTGAGAAGCTGAAATTAATAATCATCTCTAATTTAAACCTGGAAATATCACTTGAACTACCCTAAGACATAACCCTGCTCAGGTCACCACTTGTTCCTTCTTCATCACCCCAAACCTCAGCCTCAGGGGAGTATAAAATATAGTATAGTATAGTAATGAATATGTTAATGGTAAGCCAACTTATTCTTTTTATTATTACCTTTAATGGAACATGGATGCATCAAGGCACTGTAGCTTCAGGTCCATAAGATACTGTACTGTATCGTACTTCACATTCACAAGAACGGCTGTAAATGGTCTAGTATAATACAGTAGCTACACAGATATCACAATGAACAGCCCAGGAGGTTTATCTTCGTTAAAGTTCCCCTGCTTATTTCACCTGATGATTAACCAACCTAATGTGAAGTGGAGGATTAGGTGAGGCTATCCTAGGCTAGAATAGGTTGTGATAGGTTATGTTCGATTAGGTTAGGTTAGATAAAGTTAGGTTAGCATTAGAGTGTTTATTCATAAGGTTAAATAGGCTGGGGTGCCCAAACTCCATGAGATCCAACTTAACTACAAAACAATTTCAGTTTAAATACTTACTGGAAGGATCACTGGAAGGATCATTTTGCTCATCAATCTTTGATTTTTTGGTGACATCATTAACCTGTAAATTTACATCTTCAATCAAATAAAAGTTATCTTTAAAGTGAGGTAAATATTCTGAGAGATGGATATAAAATACACAAGTGGTGGATACAGTGTGATAAAACGTGTACTATCAGTCAATACTGTACATTAATGATTAAGACTGGAAAATATTTATGAACATGTACAGTCCCCTTCACTAGTGCCTTTACAGGGGCTTGTCAGGTTTTGTGCAATGTGACAGCGCTGTGTTTGTTTACATTTGACAGAAAGAAACTCGCAACAGCAACCATACTATGGAATCAAGTTAAAACAATAGAAACAATCTGTTAGGTTTGGTTAGGTTTATATGCCTGTTTTTCTAGTTTTTTGTGTATTTAGTATTCGATTGGCCATAATTTTGGTCGGAAAACGCCCCACCCGAAACCCTAGAAACTAAAAAACAGGCAATTTCCAACGGAAATTAAGGTCAAACCCAATCAAAACACATAAAACTACACTAGAAAAACATTGTTTTGACTTTCTAACAGAGTTGTGTGCACTAAATATTCCCAGCAAGGCTATGCTAGCATTATGATTAAAATGGAATCAAATGGAACTGAAGACTTATTCATCACACCACACGCCTAAAGAGTTAAATAAACAATTTGGATAAATTGACCTTTAGGCAACAACGGTGAGTAATATATAGACCCCACCTTGATAGATAACTTATCTGGGATGAAAGCCCATAGTAGGTTACTTTAACTTTAGACACCACCACGGGTAACTCAGAACAAGAGGTGATTTTAAAACTATCCAGACTGTCAACATATAGCCGAACCCACCCAGAGTAATAATATACTCGATTCAGTTCTGTCGAACAGAGAAAACGTCATTAGCAATGTCGAGGTAGGGAAAGAGCTTGCAAACAGCGATCACAAAGAAATTAGATTCCAGTTAGATTTTCAGGGCAGACGTAAGGAAAATTCCACCAAAGTACCAGATTTCAGAAGGGAAAACTTTGACAGTTTGAAGAGGCAGCTGAGGGAGGGGGTGTCAAACTTGGGGGTGAGCTACATGACCTCACATGAGGTGACCTCACTCAATGCACCCACAGAGGGCGACCTCACCTTACCAGGAGACCTGACGGTTGAGACTGACCTGATAACGAGATCTGAGATTGCCGAGTTCCACGAAAATTTAGATAATGAGTTACTTAATGCACAAAGGCAGAACATACCATACAAAAAACTCAGATCAGACAACAATGACCCTAAAGGGATAAATAATTATTTAAAGAACATCATTGGCCAAAGGAAGGCTATAGGTAGAAGGATAAGTCGTGGCGAAATTTACCTCCGGGGTTATTATAAGGTATTGGCGAGTAGGGTTAAAACCGAGATAAGGAAAGCTAAGAGGAATAATGAGGTAAGATTGACCATAATTTTGGTAGGAAAACACCCCACCCAAAACCCCATAAACTAAAAAACAGGCAATTTCCAACGGAAATTAAGGTCACACCCAATCAAAACACATAAAACTACACTAGAAAAAACATTGTTTTGACTTTCTAACAGAATTGTGTGCACTAAAGCAACTTTACCAAAATAGATCACATTGAAATGTACATGGTTGTTTCCACTGGCAAGGTTGAGTTAGCATTATGCTTTTGGAGTACACGCCAGTCGCCCCCTGTAGCGATTGAAAATGTAACGAACTGTAAACGCGTGGGTATTATTTTCTTGTAGCACCGTTCATTCCTACCACTAATCTATTATCATATTCGAATAAGACGTCTAATTATAAGATAATTTTCATCTATTACATTACCGGTGGAAATGTATAATAACGGGGATAGCTCTTCCAAAATATTTTCTTCCATTAACATCCCGCCATTATCGTCTGCCTCTCCTCCAACACTCCGTGTCTCCTGCGTCCCCTTCATAAATCATCCTCCGCATGCGTTGCTGTACACGTCAAGCGGCCATTCAAAAGCCTTTTTTTATTTTGAAACCAATTAAAATGTTTTTGGGTTGAATTTGCGGTATTTTTGGCTCAATCAAATTCGAGTATTCTTTTTGGTCTCTCATATTTTGAAATTCAAGTTCAGTTCCGACTATGGAAGTCTGCGGTGGGTGTCACTTAAAGTATATGGAGCTGATTGCGAGTTTTTGGAAAAAAAACGAAGAAACTATAGCATTTTTCGATCGCATGGTGTTCTTCCAACCTCAGTAAAGTGTACTAAGAGCAAGACTGAATGTAAACATCGCAAAGACCAACATATGTGGCGTTGTGTAAGAATCCCAGAATGCAACGACGAACAAGAACCAGGCCAATAAGGTAAGAAATAGGTGATTCCATCATATGGTGAGAGTCAGTTAAGTTAGGTCAGGTCAGGTCAGGTCAGGTCAGGTCAGGTCAGGTCAGGTTAGGTTAGGTTATTGTTTTTCTAGTGCTTTATTGTGTATTTGTTAGTCGCTTAGGCACTTTTTTTTTTCTCGGAAAACGTCAAACGAAAAAAAATCGCTAAAAAAAACGGCTAATTTCCGCCAAAAAGGAAGGTCATATCCGTCTCAGCACACACAGATACACTAGAATAATATATTTTTAACTTAATACAAGTGAAAATTTACCAAGGCGTGAATGGAATCCTAACTTAATCGGAACTCAGCCGTTCACGGCAAAATATCCACTATGTACAATTTAAGGCTAGATGTTTGTCCATCACTAACCTCTAAATCCTCGCTCTTGCGCTTAATGACAGGCATACAGAAGTTCTTGATTGTTTTCTGTGACGCCATACTTCTGCAACAGGTTAACTCGGACGTCCAAAAGTGATTCCCAAGAGTGTGAAGTAAAGGTTTTGTCTGTCTTGCCGCCTCACACACCACCATGTGGGAAGCCCGCCCTTCTCTGTTTACGATGTTAAAATCTTACCACAACCATAAACAGAGTCTAAAATATTATTTTCTAAGCAAAAATATCTCAACCAATTTCAGCTAAATAAAAAATATTTTCATACTGTATTCATATTTAGTTAGTTATTGTAATTATTAGCTGTTTAAGAGTGACTTTTAATTCATATATTTTATTTAATTGTTGGACTAGTGTTATTACTAACCTTGTTACACTATTTATGGCGACAATGTTGAAGCACAAAATAACAATTTAATTTTTAAGCGATCAGCTCCTTTGAAAAAAAATATTTGTTTTCCTTTCACTCGATATTATAAGACAAGCAATAATAAAATAAGCTAAATGTTCTCTCATTACGTGGCATAATTGCAACCATGTCAAGAATTTTGAACGTAATAAAAAAATACACATCAAATCTCCACATACTTAAAGGTAAATTCATATAGTATTTGGTTGTTCACCCGAATCTTATAGATTTATTCTCATAAAATATTAATTTCGGATATTTGATATATATTACGAATATAAATTGCCCCGATCATTTCTTAAGGTAGATATTAAAAGAAAAGGAACCATCAGTTCTGTCGCAAATTCTCTGTTGAATAACAAGTCTTCACCTGAAACGATCTATGATCATACCTACTCCATATTACCACATCTATACTGCAGCCAACACTTAGGAAGGATAAGCATTTGTGAAACTAGGATTTGAAATAATCGGTGAGTTCATGTCTTCCTCCTCCTGACTTTTTGCCTATTTCTTCCTCCTTCACCGCTTTATCTCCCCTTCACCTCTTTATCTCCTCTTTCCCTGCCTGCACCCATCTCTCCCCTTCCCTGCCTTCATCTCTATTCCTTCCTGCCAACATCTCTTTCCCTCTTGCTTACCTCCATCTCTTCCTTCCTTCCTGCCTCCCTCTATTCCTCTCCCTCCCTACCTGCTTCCATGAATTATTCACTCTGCTGCTCCAAGCTCAGTTGCAGATCATTGTTCACTAATATCTTTTATATATCTTCTGTTACTGTAATGACCACGGTCGGACATGTTATTTAACGTAAAATCAGACGATTCATATTACGCTCAATAGCCCACAAAACATGTAACTATGCCTTCTTTATTGAGTCTCCCCTCTGAGGCGTCCGTTTTCTCATCGCTTCAAGACGCCCGAGTCCTCCGTTTTCCCATTTTCTCTGACTTCCTGACACCAACATCTCTATATAGTAAATCTGAATGTGAGAGAGAACACCATTGTTTTGAGTCAACTTAGATATGTCTGATTACACTTAAAGCATACAAGATCCTTTGTGGGTGATGTTGAAAGCTTTAACTGTCTTTATCGTTCGTAACACTTGTTAAGTAAGTGAGTGTCGAGTCTGCCAGTACGAATAGCGTCCAAGGATATTGTCCCTGGTTATAGCCATGCATTTCTGAGTACTACTGAAATTAGAATATTTTGATGCCCAAACAAAAGAGAATCTGATGTTTGTAGTTTAGTGAGTGTCAGTTGTCTATTCAAGAAAGCCATTAATCTCCTGAAAGAACATGTCAAACTTCCTTATCTCCAAGATCTCAACCCATACCCATAAAGGGTCCTTGTCTGGAAATTCGCTATGTTGGGAGACCTAATGTTATCAACGTGTGTAATTCCACTTTTTCCTGGCAAGCTCAATCTCTGATTAGATTATATGAATAGACGTAGGATATTCGCCTGACCGGTGGCAATTGGTTGTCATAATTAAATGTACAGTGATTGAGTTGAATGTAATTTCTGTTATTGCTGACTAGCCTTTCTGGCATGTGATCTGCCCAGGCCTGAGTTGCCAGTTAGCCGTATATAAGCTCATGCACAGAGGAGAGAACCACTGCTCAGTCGTTTCTCCATCATTGTCACAGGTAAGAATACGATGATCCCCCTGCCATATTAAGTCAGTTTAACTCAGTGAATTTTGTGAATATCAGTGTTCATGTTGTAACAGGGAAATTGTCATTAACCCAGTGAAAGAATTAATGTACCGTAAATGTCTAAATGTCGTCTGTCGTTGCTAGACGAAAGATTGTTTGTGATTGAGTTATTAGACTGCTTTGTCGTTTTCCATCATTGTCACAGGCACAGTGTGTGTGTGTGTGTTAGTGGAATATCCAACAACTACCGGGGACCGATAACTGCTTACCAGCTGGCTGCATTGGAAGATGGCGTTAATTTGGCAGGATTAAACTGTGCGAGTTGCACCTTAGGAATTAAGTCCGAACTCCCTCGCGTTGTATTGGACTCCAACCGACCTTAACAGCGTTTTTCATTTGTTGTGGTGAAACCAGTGACACCCTGGGGCACTCCTGGGCCTAAGTATTATTGTTGTTGTATATGATTGATGATAATATATGATTGGTGATAAATAACAGGTTGAGTAGTGATCCCATAACAATTGATGGTATCAGTAAATATGTGGTGTGAGTTGAGTACATCAATTGAGGGAGAAATACCATGTTATTCATTCCGAAATAGCTTGCTGTTATAAATAATATTTTAATTCGGGATATTGTCAAGTGTGTCACACAGCCATCTATAGTGACAAGGACATAATATAATTATTGTTTAATGATGTAATAAGTAATGGAAGTTGTTTAATGATGTAATAAGTAATTGAAGTTGTTTAATTATATAATAAGTAATGGAAGTTGTTTAATGATGTAATAAGTAATTGAAGTTTTTAATGATATAATAAGTAATTGAAGTTGTTTTATGATATAATAAGTAACTGAAGCCCTATTTTATGAATGATAAAGTGGGACCTGAGTGGTTCAGTCAGGTTTGAGTGTACTTGATTAACATATTGTTCACTCCTTGTGTTAATAAATGTTGAATTGGTAGACTATGAGTATCACCACTCTATCCCTTTCCCACATTGGTTCTCAGAAAATAACTAACTCACGTGCCTAGAAGCTCGCTACCTAACAGTTAACTAAGATATGTTATATTCTAAAAAATAAAAGTCTGGGTGGTGGCAGGCTACCGTTGTAAGTATAATAAGTGTGGTAATAAGAAAGACATGTTTCCTAGATTAATCCACGGTTTAGAATATAACTAGAACAAAATATATATTAGAGAATATAATATATATGAAAGAAAATGAAAAGGAAGAACCTTGACTTGGAAAATATAAGCAGATAAATATAATAGTTACTTATATAAGAATATATACGAGTAAGTATATATATATATCAAGTATTGCAGAATAAAATGACAAAGTCTGAAATAAGAAGTAAAGGAAAACGTTCCATTACAAATGATGGCAGCTTAGGTGGGATATAAAATGAAAAGAAACTCGGTCCATTACAAATGGTGACCAGCTAGTGGGATTATTTTCATTTGAGAGCCAATTTGAAGGAATGAGGTGTGGTACTTTGGTGAATTTATTTTCTAAGAATACAGTGTACGGTACAGTACTATATAATTTTGTCATCAGTAAAGAGTACAAAAAATTGTGTGATTTAAAGTACAAACTTTTGTGCCAAGTGCAATACTGTACTGTATTTGTAACTGCAAAGATATTTTTTTAAAGATTTAAGTAAGAGGTAATAATTGATTCAGTCTCACATTTTTGTGAAAGAAAGTGATATTTTTTTTGTCACGAGAGTTAGGTAATGCACCAATTTTCTTTAGTAAGCTACCTAGCTGATCTTTTTGAGTTTTTATTGTGTGAAATTTCAGAAAAGTGGTAATTGCACATTAGTGTAATTTTTATTTTTGTGACCGGTGAATTAATCTATGAATATTTACAGACATGGAGTGGGCAGTATACATCTTCCTTGTTAAGAGTGTGATGAACAGTGTTCATTTCTGAGTGTCAATGGAAGTGTCTTGTGTACAAAGGTTATGTAATCCAATGTTTTATTTGTAGCTGTGGCATTTATTAGAAATATTGGTATGATTTCAATAGAAAGTGTTCAGATTCTCACTTGAAGTATTTTGTCTAACTTGAATTTATATTATATCACCTGAGTTGAGTGTTATATGATTTTTCTTTGTGTGTATTTAATTATTTTTATTCTTTTTCTAGTGACTTTAATTGTGATCTAACTAGAAAGGGTTTTAGTTCCCATTTGATGTCAATTTATGACAAGTGAATTTATTGATATAACAAAAGTTTAGTGTTAGATTTTTCCATATGGTATTTTTAATGTTTCTTTAACTGATAATTTCATTACAGACTGCATTACAATTTCTTACAGTGTAGACTTATATGCATTGTTAATAAATGTGCTATATGTATTTGAGAACTAATGCCTGTGTATTTTCAGCAAATGTATTGATTGGGTTGAGGAGCCTGTGGTGACATGGACGCCTCTAAGAATGCAATCTCTGAAACCGGATCGTTGAAATTACATGTAAGGTTTACCAAGTGTTGAGTACAGCACAGAGTCAAGATAATTGAAAAGAGACAGTGAATACTTGTTGAGTAGAGAAAATCGCCTTTTCTGTTAGTCATTCGTGAAATTTAGAGTTATATTTTCGTGGGACATTCTCGTCAAGTATCATCAATTAAATGATACTTGACGAGAATGTCCCACGAAAATATAACCTATTAAACCTGGAACCTATTAAACCTGGAACTATTAAACCTGGAACCCATTAAAGATTGGAGACTGTTAGACTGAGACCATCCAACCAGTCACCGGAAGGAAGGAAGGACAGTCGTATTATGTAGCCTCCAGTCATATAACAATTAGACTCTCAATTAGTGATGAAGCGGACAGTGACTGGTGGGATTAAACTTATACTGTCTGTGTCTGTCTATCAGTGTGTCTATCTCTCTGTCTTGTTTTGTTTCAATCTGTCTCTCTAATCATCAATATATCTGTTTCTGTCTGTTTATGTCACTATATTTCTCTTGTTATCTGTCTGTCAGTCTATCTGTCTGCGTTTGACTGTCTGCCTCTCTCTGTTTGTGTCTGTCTGTCTGTCTGTGTCACCATCAACCATCCTCC